AACTTCCGCATTTTCGCAGACGTTTCATCCAAACCCTTTCGAAAAGAAACGTTGAACTGGAGCCTCTTCAGTAGAAACAGTACTTTCCACGAGTAACGCTTGAACTCCAGCTTAAATGTGCTGATAACGATCTAGTTTGCCTTAAGCATTGACTTCAATATTAAAACATCCCATTAACTTGGAAGTCACTGAACGTACTAGGTACCATTACATGGTATTCCTGGATCATTGGCATGAAGTATCAAGACAAACATAATCTTTTCCATTGGCAACCGTGCAATCGGTAATTATTCGAACGTCAGTGTGACTGGTGTTTGAGGTTTGATAATTTTGTCGTACTTAGTGTAACACTAATAGTTCCGTCGCCAACAATGCTGAGCCGGAGTTAAAACCCCAGTCGAAGCTAAGAGAGACACAACTGTCAAAGCTCCACTCCAATGCTTCATTGCAAACAAACCGGCTAAAATTTCTGTGCAACTAAGAAGATTGCCAACTACTTGAACAAGTGGCTTCAACATGACTTTCTAAGTCACAGTGCCATCATGAAATTAATTCTGTGGAATTTAAAATCGAGTAATTAACCTTCAGCAAAAATTTGCTTAAATTCGGTTGCGGTGGGACATGGTGAAAAAGACGGGGTTTGTATCGGCTCTGAAACCATACCTTAAGCCGCCAGTATGTCTTTCAAGTTTTGGCCTGCATTTGAACTCTTGATGCGCAAATATATTGACCATATAGATATTGTGAAAATGACAAGAATTGGCTCAAATCACACACTGTCAGCAGGATGACTGGATATGACTTTTCGACACAAACTGGAAGTAATCGGGCTATCTCAAAAATGTAATTTTAGCTTGTAGCTTGTCGTTTGTCGCTTGCGCACTGAGCAGAAGGTTGCAACAACGATTGCTGATAATTTCCTACGGTGACATTGTATTTGAATTCGGATGGTTGATAATGTCAAACAAAGAGTTGCCTGCTGTCACGAAATATGGTTGTCAACAGTTGGAAACCTTAGTTTGTTTATAGGTTTTGACAGCCGATATTTTCTTTTAGACACACAAACTGAATAGCATCGGTGAGCATATATCAGGAAGATGAGATGATACACTTTTTGTTGTCTGGATCAATATAGTTCTCTTAACTAAACCCCGACGAGGCCCAGATTTAAGTGGTTGAGCTGTGGATTGATATTCCTGACCCTGCACTCACAAAGTCGTGGAAGCATTTGTGATTGGAGCTGTTGTGACTCATCCAGTCTCAGCCAGGAGAAGTGGCTGCTAGTCGTGTTTTGTGGCTTGAATTTTGGCACTGTTTGAATGAAATGTTTGTGGAGTGATGACAGATGGTGAATTGAGGTAGTTGAACTAGCGACTGACCTATTCCTTGTTCTATTTCATCAGGTATGAATAGTCTGAATGTGGAACACACCGTCCCTCCTTCTTGCTACAAGACGAAGCTTTCATAAAATGAAAGTTGGTACGTGATTGTTGGTACGTGGACTGTTGTAGTGAGGACCAACGATCGCACTGTACTGCCCACACCACTACTATTCAGTAGTGATGGCAGCATGGATTTTGATATTGATTTAGTCGCAAGAAAAATTCAGTAAGAGGCATTGGAGTGAAGTGTGGCATGAAATGGTTCTTGGTACATGAAGGAACTGAACCTTAGCGTCCTTAGCAACCGTGACGTTCTGAGACCAGTATCGTATGTAGATAAGTGTTTTTGTTTGCTGTCATGTTGACACGCATGAACCATGATTTTCTGATTAAACAACCGATGCGCCATCCACATTCTCGACTTACAACACGGTACCCTCCCACATTAGCAGAGCGTTGGCAATTTACACAGTAAGTCAGTTTTAAACTTCCCGGGGAAGATCGATACACGAACAAATTACCGACGTTTGGTAATAAATCGCTTCAGTTGTTATTTTTGGACACACAACCCAAGCCAAAGTCATAGATACACATGAATAAACCAACTGCATGAGAACCAGATAGATTATTTACGTACAACAGAATATGGAAAGATCACCACACCTTGAAGGGAGCCAGAATTGTGGAGAAGTGAGGATAATATGCATCTACGCAAAGACCTGAATCCTATTTGACTATTTGAAGTTATATGAAAGAAGAGCTTTTTAAACAAGAATGCTAAATGCTTCACTGAAATCCAGCACTACATTGTTTATCAAGCGAACAAAGCATAGAACGAAGTAAAGTCGTCAACGAGTCCGGAGCATTACGGTTTAGGTTGACAATCATACAGGCAAATTTTCGGTATGTGAGCGGGAGTACATTCTAAAACCGTCGGCACTTGAAAGACAGGCTTTATAAACCGATTGACTTTGTTTGCTTGGAAAAAGTTCTAGTAAAAAATAAGTTTTTTTATAAAGTAACGGATCGAAAATGACCTGACATCTACGGTTTCCATTCGTGTTAATTATTTTGCTTTTGTCCAGAGTGAAGAGGGTCAGTACATACGCAAGTGATCCGTGGATAGATACGGTGAAGCACTCAACCACCTTCAATAAATAATTTCCAAGACAAAACAGTCCATTTTAGTAAGCACGTTTCTGAGATGAAGTCGACTTGAATTACGTGTGCTCAGAACCGCAGAAGAAACACTTGTTCAAACTTCACATAAATTCATTTCACCCCACGAGGAGCAGCACAGCAGTCTTGACGAACCGAACGAAGTTCATATATGTATAAGCCTCAGGACCGAGCTCCTCAGCACGCAAGGATGTTTGTGAAATAACTATACACATCATCTTGATAGGCCAAAATTGAACCCGCACACGAATCATGGTGCTAAGTAAAGTTTTGTCAGACGAACCTTACGAATGAGCTTCAGGAAAGACATTTACTAACAGACTTACGTTGGCACTATTCGTTAGCTGAATGTACCTATATCAAGCTAACATTTCGCCAATGATGGCTGGGGCTTGAAAATCATGTGGATGGGTGGAAATATCCTACAGTTTCGTACGAAGCGTCTCCGAGCACAGTGATTTATATGTAATGTACACGGGACAACGAACAAAGACCGCTGTTTCACTTGGTTAACTGGTAATTATGGTCTGACCATGCGGAATCTAAGAGAGTTTTTCGCCGGGTAATCTCGGTGAGTGATTTCATTCATTGTTAATTTTGGGGGATAATGCAGAAAAACGGGAGTTATAGCCCCATGGTAACAGATGATAATTGTCGCTTAAACAGTGATCTGTCCGCAAGTCCCAGATCACCCAAATATAGACGAAGATGTTTGCTGTTGGAATTGCTCAGTCTATCGGATGTCTGTCAATATCAGACAAATGTCTGTAAGGGATAATAGGCAAAATTCAAATGCAAGAAATTCATAGATAGTAACCAATGGCTGCTTAAACTCTGAGGATGAAACAGCACTGGATGTACAAACCTGCACGACGAATCTTGAGTACTAAGGGCTACCGTGGCTGGCCATTGGCTGCAACATGTTTCAGATGTATGTATGAACTACGGACTTGAGGATGTCTTCAATTCTAGTGAAGATGGAATAGTTTATTGCATCCTACTAAGTAGAAGCATTTTTTGTGGGCTGACAAATGTTCTGGTGTGTGAAAGTTAAAAGAACGTCATACGATTTAGTTTTACTGTACCATAAACGGACAGGAATTCCGGCCCATAGGGGAAGCATAGACGGCTAAAATTAAATGCCACGTAGGTACATGACCACAAAAGATGCCTAGCAATCAAATGAGAGGCCAAACGACAACTATAGCTAGAAAGATCCATGCCTGATTAAAGATTGAAGAAATGGAATAACGGTTTGCTATCATAGATCCAAAATATTTTCTTGCACCGAACTAGTAGCAGCGCACCTCATAACAATATGACGAGTTACTTTCATTTTCAAACACTGCTTCCAAACCGCGGTCGTTGGACGCCGACATGACCCAGACAAAAAAGTCAACTTAGCCCTGAACTCTGTTAATGATTAGGAAAACTTATTTAACGCGTGTAGTGTTGCAACGGGGTGATTCATTGATAATTTTATTTTTAAACAGAATATAATTTCAAATGAAACAGTATAGGTACCTCATTTTTGGTAAGAACAGATTTACGCTGGTAGTGTAGCATTCCGATTTCCTCACCTTTAAGCCGACACTCCACTTGTGGTAGCCAATGCAAGTTGACAAGTCAAGGTGGACTGTGTTCAATCAGAATAACACAGTGTAACCAAATTATGCAGTAAGGCGGTTACCATCGTCTTGTTTAATGCACTGTGGACATGGTTTTGCTGGTGCATTCATTCTTTCAAGAGATGAGGCAAATATGGAAGGAGCTTATTCGTGTTTGTTATTTTGTTGCATTGAACAGGAGTATTTTTTCGAAATCTTTAGGCCATACTGTGAAGAATAAAACGGATTTTGAACCATTGACTTAAAGGTGCTAACCAAATTTGTTATAGAAGATATTCACAAAAGACAAGAGAGTGTCAGATGCAAGTACGAAGGGAAAGTACTTTGGAGAATGTAACGAAAGTTTCATAGTTTAGGTTGAATCAAAGTCCATTAAGCTGAAAAATACGAGGAAGTAAACCACTCTCGACCATTTTTTTGATGTTTTTGAAATGGTGATCTACAAGAACAATTCCTTTTAAAAAAATTTACTTCCTCCTCTTAATTTCCACTTCTGTTTGTTTTTACCTTCAGAGGAAGACAAAGAGGGATTTTAACACCGTTCAGCTAATCTACGGTTTTTTGTTTAAACTACAGTCATTTAGCCCCTTCCTGGGTCACGACAGCCTGAAAGACTGTCAGTGTTGCACAGGAACAATTAGTGCATGAGGTAAACCCTGCCAGTTTGTTGCCTGTTTTTTAATATTACTCCTAACCGAGTATTTGGATTCTAGTGAATGACTATTGTTCTTTTTCCAACGATTACACAAAACTGATTATAAGTGATGTGACAAATTTCTCAACTTGGGTGATACACATTTAAGAAAAATCTAAACTTCAGCTGGACTCGAACCAGCAGCTGAAAAAGCATGCTCAAACGCAGTAAGTGCCCCATCAACTGAGCTACGAAGTCAGGCCAGTACCTCAGAAATTCCACATTTTCAAACAATTATTCGCCCAATCCATTGTGTTCATATGGAATCCAACAAGTTATCCGGCGGACAGACTGGCCAAGTAAAGTTTTTCAAACAGTTATTTGACTTCGTAGCTTACCTGGTAAGGCGAAAGCTACGTCCAGGTATGCCGTTTCTGTTGCTGATTCGAATCCAGCCTTACCTCGGATTCTGCGCAATTTGGTCTCATCTAAACTCAATAAGAGTCAAAAAGACGCAAGAAGTGGCACTCCATAATATATCCTCTTGCGTGGTTTTCACAAGGTAACGTTGACATTTTTAATGTGGCTTAAGCACATCGAACGAGTTTAAGTGATCAGAATGTTCCACTTCGAAAATAAACAACAATATATTTAAGAAATACTTTTGTGTCCCCAGAAGGCTGCTTCCATTTTTTTTTGGCGGTGTGTGTGAGGCGGCATACATTTCACTGTTAAGTTTTACTCACCGTTGTGGCTTCAAGAGCGTTTATTTCACTTCAATGGCTGATCAACTACCCCCAAATATACGTGTTGTAATTTAAGGATTAATGAATTACTGACTGATTGACAATATTCGGCTAGTGGGATATTACAGGATTTCATTCGATGTCAGCTCTTATCCCCCTTTTTCATTCATAATTAACCACAACGTACAAAATATCAGTAATTTTACACGCCGGCTAAACAACTGTGTGAACCCCTGTGTATGGAGAACATTACACAATAATCACTCGTCGTGCGGTGAGTGCCTTACAGTGGACCAAACCCAAAGTATCACTATGCGCAAACGAGACTCTTGAACCATCGTCGCAGAAGATAACAGTCTGTTCCGTATCCGCTCTATGATGGCGAACAAAACTGACACAAACCTCTGGGCGCGAACACAGTTGCTTAGGACTATTTAGATAGAGAACGGACTGCCGATATTCACCTCATTGGTAGGCTGTCAGCATTTTTGCTATACTTCGTGCACAGTAGCCAACAGTTTAAGAAAAACTCTTCAGAAACTAGAACTCATGGTTTGCCGCACCAATCGGTTTGTTATTCGGAACGGTCACTTGGAATAAGGCAATGTTCCATGCACTATAGATATATAACTGTAGATATCATTTTTACCTAGTGCATGCTATTCAACTCTAATGTCCCTAAGACACCTTACCAAACATAATCAGAATTCCCGTCTTTGAAACCAAGCGCAGAAACCAGAACACCGTATGACGCGTCTGAACTGCAGTTTTGTTTTTAAATGAATGAATGTCCGGTTTTTCTGAAACAGTTGCAGCAGCGACATTAGTGAATAAATTTAAATAAGAAATGAGTATATAAACTCGTGGTGTCACTCCGAATCAGAATGACTCTAGATTGATATACGATCCCTAATGCCAATCAGTCTGGTAGCAAGTCATTGCTCGTTGAAGTGAGTGTTTCAATTCGGACTGGTTGAATTATGCAGCTTTTTCCAAGCCATCATTCTATTACATGGTTCATTTTCTATATTTATATTTCACAGCTTCACCGTATGACGTTCCAGTGTTATGTGTCATAGACTTGTGTGTATATATGTTTCTAACTTCATTTGACTTCACATGACGTGCAATCGTTAGTATACACCTACAACAAAACCAAAAGTTGCATGTACATTTAGACAGTTAGAAGTTTAGTATAGTTCTTGATAAGAAACATAATCATGATGAGTTTTATAACTGCCGATTAAAAAATACCAGCTGACCTGTTCAACCACGAGGTGATTTTGTCTTACTTTGGACGTAAATTGCCAAACGAATTCCGAGCTCTGCCTGAAAAGCTTTCGCTTGCATGAATGTTATGAGCCTACACGCGGTCATCGCTTGGTTGGAATAACAGGTTCGAACTTTCTTGTGTGTGTAAAACTTACAGAATCGTCTCTGATTTCGTGAAGAACATGACGGATTAGGTTTTTCCTGCAGTAAGTAAAATTCTGTCGTTTAAATTGCTAAGGAATGTAGCTTGTTGCTCATTAAGGAAATCTGACTCCATTGATTGAGAAGGCGTGATAATGCGGCAGAACTCGTTGAAAAATTGGAAAATATAAGAAGTCAATTTTGCAAACAGCTGTTTTCGATAATTCTCATCAGGCTATTACAACTACATAGGGTAAGTGCGAATTATATATGAAGATTATAACGTGTCAAATAGGTCGTCAAAAAATCACAGGAGTGGTACGGATCACAGTCTACTGGGGGAGGGTGGGAATGTTGATGAATGTGTTGGAGTGTTACACGGGCCTGTCATGAGACATGCGTTCACCAGTGTCGAGTGGTTCACGCTTGCGCGGGTTTCAAGTGGATGCGGAATGATTGGCCAGGGGAGGTGGAGGGCTTGTACGAATTGTTTTTGGGCACATAGGCAGGGGTTGTGGAGTCTGATAGCGATAGCCTCAGCCGTTGATAACAATCGCACTCTGACAGCTCTGGAACAGCATTGACGAACCTTGTAGATTACTCGGAACGCTTCATCCGGGTTTATTTGATGGCCAGTGTCAAGTAAATGGGGGCCAATTGCACTGGAAATAGGCTTTATCGATCCGTTGCGAAGCCATTTCGGTAGGTGTTCACGTATCCTTTCCGATAGCCGCCTCGTAGTCCTCCCAACGCAACCAGCTTGACAACAACAGGTGAGAGAGTAGATACAGAAAGACGAAGAGAACCTGGGCAAACTATCCTTAAGGCGTGGCACTAGTACCGGGCAGGTGTCGAACGACACGATAAGTCTCGCTGCATGGTAGGCACTCTCGACCGCATTTGAAAGTCTACGACTAACAATTTCACCGTTAACCTCACCTCTATAAGAGAGACAGATGAAAACCGGCTTTTTCTCCGCTGTCTGAACGAGTTCATGTTCCGTGCCGGAATGCAGATTTTTGTCTATGAATCTCTCAGGGTATCCATTTCCCATGAGAGCTTCACGAATATGTCCTACTTCCTCCTGGAGAGTGTCCGGTGTACAGATCTTTTGCGCTCTGTTCAACAGACAACGCACCAAATTTCTTTTGTACTTCAACGGGACAAAACTGTGAAAATGTGTGTATTGACCCGTCCACGTCTTTTTTCTATGAATCGATCTTTGAATTGTTCCTTCTGATCGACGAAGCAACCCGACATCTAGGAAAGAGAGTCGTTGCAACGTGCCACCCACTGCTAAAACCTTACAACGTCATGCTCGGAACGAAAGAGACTCGTAGTCATCAAAAATTGACGAATTAACGCGTAATCGGTCTCAGCGTGTGATTGCTGTGGAGACGCTCCCCGAGGAGGACAGGAGGTTGTTCGAACAATACGTACAGACAGAGGTGCAAAAGCAAGTGGACAACAAGAAGAAAAAGTTGCTCTGTAGTTTGAATCCAATCAAGCCGCAAGCTGAGTTTCCAGCAGAACCAGAACGGTATGTTCACAACTTTTCCTCTATAACGTTAAGCCGTATTATGTTGGAGGCGCTATCACTAGGCCCGAAATTTTGTCATCCGAAGTCTAAATGTAACCGCTTAGACACGGAAGTTCAATTCGAAAATTTACATGCGCAACTAAACGGACTCGTTAGCTCATCAGAATTTAATGCTGAACACTGTAAATCTACTCTCGTGAACGCTTGTTATACTTACCTGAATAGCAAGGTACCAAGGTGCAGTTTATTGAAACGTGAACACTTAGACGCTATACGAGAGTTGCAATCCAACCAGAATATTTTAATCATGAAGCCTGACAAAGGAGCGGGAATAGTTTTACTTGACAAAACTTCTTATGAATTCTACGGGAATCTGGAGAGATTGGAAAATGAATTTGAAGGTGAAGACAGGCATTCCATGTGACTTGTCATAGAAGCTTTACTGTAGTTTTGTCATGTACCCAGTGCTTTTATCTTCCAGGTTGTAAATTCACATAGTAATTGATCAAGAAGGATGTTACTATATGTGCATGCCAGATGTTCAAAAGTTGCAAGTGCTACATCCAAATTTTATTAATGTTCCAGCCATCATTGCACACAGCTGTTTAAAGACAGTACTTGATTATTCATCAAATGTTGAATAACGAAACAGTGATTCAAGTCACCCGATGCTACCTGTATCGTTCTTCGACTCTAATTGCCTCATCAGTACAAAAAGAAGACATACGTTGCGATATGTTAACATATCGTTGAGTCTTATCAGTCGTAAACGTAGAGCATGCACATTATATATGACAGACAAATAGCGATGGACATGGTATGAACACGCATACAATCACACCACGTATTATGTCATCATCATCATCAACCATCTTTGTGTGCATAATGCCGGCTGATGAATCCTGATCAACATGGTTTCGCAAAAGACCAGTAGCTTCGGGTTCTGACGGTGTAACGTTATATTGAATTATCTAAATGGGTCAAGTTGGTGACCAGTTATCATGAGGTGTCTGGCAATCGATGATACGAGGCGTCGGGTAACGGATTCACCGGTTTCAGATTGTTGTGTCATGAGTTGCTCAAATCAGTTTGAGACGTGTTCTGCTACACGCTGAGAGAGCCGTCGGTCTGTTTTACCTATGTAAACGTCGCCGCAACTGTAAGTGAACTGATAGACAACGTGAGAGACAGAATGTTCAGACAGACTGCGTTCACGATTGTGTAGAACGGGTCCTTTGGTGGTTTGAATCAAGCGCAATTGGGCGGCTGCATACGTATGAGATAAGGCACATTGCAACTTGTGCATGACGTCGTTTGCCAAATGATCACCTCTAAATTGCAGAACTGAGAACATATCTTTCTTTTGAACTGTCTTTACTGGCTCATTGCATTTGGTCACCCTGCTGTGAATGTCTATGAACTTTTCTGAATGTCTGTTCGCAAATAGCGTTTTTCTGAGCATTTCTTGTTCCATTTGCAACTTATCAGGGGTGCAACTATGTCTGACCCTATGAAATAGGGTTTGGACCAAACCCCTCTTGTATGCTATCGGGGCAAAG